TATATACCTATATCATACATTGTTCTAAAAATTCCCGCCTAAGCGCTAGGCGGCTGACCACCGACCTGATTAATCTCTAAGCGTTTGAAAATTAAGAAATGACGCTTAGACTTGCTTAGTCACTTAGATCCGCTTAGGTCGCGACTCTCACTTAGATAGAAAATAGATAAATTTCATTGTGCATTTTATTTTTCAATAAATTGTAGGAGACTTTTTGAATAATTAGATGAACATTAAATCTAAAAAACAAACTTGGAATTTTGAACTTGGATCTAACTGCTTTACATATATTTTGATCTAGAGTTCATTATTTAGTATATATACAATATTATCTCAATCAAACATACCAGTGTATATTATAGTATAAATACTCTGTAAACACAATATACGTGCTACGCACTAATTTTAGTCAAAAACATATATAAATCCTTGTTGCGGATCCAACGAGATGGTCCCATCATATATTGCATCAATACATTATGCAAAAGAACTTTGTTTCAAGGATAATCAGCATGCTGCACATGCTCTACTACCTTGACTTATGTAATGACATGCTATTTGTTGTTTTCTACACAGAAATTCCAATCTAAACTGCTACAAACTAGATAAAGTGACACATAATTGGACATCATTATTGGTCTTGGAAATTCAACAGCGGTCTTCAATCTCGTTTCAATTGTCCCAACAATCATGCATGTAATTACAAAGTTGTCAGCCAATTAACCTTCATTTTCTTATTAAATTATAATATATATATTACGAAGTTACAAAAAATATATTTATAAAGACCTAATAAAATACTCTACCCTAACATAAAAATAAATCAAATTGCTAACTTGCAAACTTTTTGTATTAGTGGAACTTAATTTTCAGCCACATGTACTGGTGCTGCATGGGTTTGTTAAACAGCAGAATTGATTGTTTCAAACCACATATTTAAATGCAAGAAGGATGGAACTGTGAAATGATTAGCTGTAGCATATTTACAATATTATTACAACAAAGCTAACAGGATCGATTTATATCTCTCGCGGTCTGTGTGTGTGCACGCCAGCAGATTGTGAGGTGCATTTTAACTGTGAACTAATTTTAAGTTTTACATGAACCGTGGGAAGAGTTCTTTTTAAGAAGCATGATTGGATGTCCAATCAGACAATACAGATATTAATACAAATAATGCAAAATTTGGAAATGTATCTCGTGACAAACCCTATTTCTTTCTGGATATAATTTTCTTGCAAATTGAGATTTCAAAACCTTTGGAAAATTAGTCACTTAATACCACAATATAGTAATATTTCTCTTCACTTGTAAGTAAGAGAAGTCTTAGATACAATTATCGTCAAAGATGAATTTGAACCACATTATTATTGGCTTATTGTGAGACTAAACTCACATACTCTTCTTATTTAAATAATATTGTTTATTCAAAAAAATAAAAAAACCCTTAGAAAATTAACGGAAGAAAAAACATAGCTAGCTAGCTCTATAAGTGATCAAATAGATTTTCGAGTTCGTAAACTAAATTATGTCTGCATACTACCGATCATAATGGGATCTTAAAATGGCCACAAAAAAAAACAACGAAATATTCATGCGGTTTCAGAGATCATATTATATAAACATGTACATGTAAAGCATTAGAAAATAATTAAGAACTATATATATCTAAAGGTCTAGGGATCAAAATTTTATTAATCCAGTCATGCAAAACTTTCACAAAACCAAATCATTATTAAGGCTATATAATCATAAGATCACAAGAAGAATTTATTGTAGGACAAAGTATGGCAACGGAAATTAGATAATTTAGCAGTTGCGAAAACACAGAAAGTTTAAGTTAAACAATAATAAAGGATAACTAGGATCACTCCAGGGCATCACACCCCTTGTTGGCATCTCAACAAGAATTTTGGCAGCTCACCAGAATCATCCCATCGCAGGATTAAAATTCCAATCTCTTAAAAACAACGCTTTTCTATTTATTAACTCTTCACCATTTGTTAATATGAATTACAAGGGATGTTTATAAAGCCTTAAACCTAATGAATTATGAAACCTTAAACCTAATGAACGCACAGAAAAGTAAACTTATTACAAGAACGAAATCCTTATTCAAAATAGAATAGAAAACTAAATCTAACCCTCATAATCAAACTAGAAAGAATGTTAATCCCTATAAGTAGGAAATCAAAAGATTAAAACCATAAATATTAAATTAAAGACTAAAACGCCCTTTAATTTAGGACAGCCACAATTTTTGTTCCACATCAAAATTGGTTTGAGGCTGCTTCCAAGTAGAACTCGGAAACACTGACTTGCATTTCTATTGTGAATCTGTGTGATGAACAACTCGGGGGACATTTGAGTTCACGGGCAAGGTTCTAGTCAGGAAAAAAGATTAACATAAATTTAATATATCATGTCATAAAACTAGATATGTCCCTAGCTAGATAAAGAAAATTTGGTAGGTTGGGACAACTAATATCTATAAAAAGGGACAAAAAAGCTTTAAAATATAATTTCCATCTCCATTGAATTTTAGAACTCATGGAATAAATATACTCTAGTACTAATTAGGCATTTTTTGTCCCTTTTCCTCACGTGTGGGATAGCCTGCAACATATCAGAGAACAAACCAAATGCATATGATAGCACAACGATCGATAAAACATCTTCAGACTTTTGAAAGATAAATTCTTGACTTGGGGCCGTGGACAGCTATGATATTGTTTGATCCCCATAAAATAGGAGCCCAGCCAATACCAATGTCTCTTCAACAAGACTTTGACAACATTAATATACCTTTTAAGGAAAACAAAGCACCATTTCATACAAAACACCATTTCAAACAAAAACCTAACTGCCTTGATAATTGGAAAACCATTTCAGTCAATTAGAACATATACAAGTTGATAGATGAGAGATTTTCTTCTTTTCTAATTGAGCTAAATGTGCAATCTAAAAGCTATAATTATTGGAGTACTTTTTCTAATTTATTATTAAAGAAAAAGTGACAGCAACTCCTTCGAGACATTCATCGCAGTGTATGATTAATAGTGTATCAAATTAATATTAGCTAGGTGAGACGAGAGGCCACCAACTCCAAACATATTGGCAGCAATTTGGAACTTCTAATTTGGGGTTATTCTATGAGCTTATGGTTTCAGAAATCATATGCATGAACATTAATGGTCATCTTGATCAGAAATGTATAAGGTACAATTCTTATCAAAACTTAATGATGGTTCTTGACCCTAAGATTTGAGGATAAGGTGTGTTGTTGAAAAGGGTCCTCTGTTCCCATCAATCATATATATCGGTACAAGGAAGGAAGGGCTGAAGCCCAACAAAACCTACGTACCTAGCTGATCTCGGAGAAGAACTTCCATGGAGTGGGTACGCAGTTACGGTGACGTCTTGTGTCAATACATGTGTAAATTTTATGTCCACATGTTCTTATTTCATTAGCACGAGACACATGGTGGTGCACCCGTACCATATAATTAATTAGTTGTTCTCCTGATCTAGACCAAGGGACCCCATTCATGTCAGTTATCCTATATTTTTCATACAAACCCTAGATAGTGAGTGGATTAGATTATCCTTCACATATCTTTAAACCCCAAGCGGTTTACAAGATTTGGCCATTGAAAGTTGTACCTATACCCATACAAAAGTTACATAACCTAACAGTTATCAATTAATTGAGTGTTTGCCCAAAATAATTGAATGTTTCCAATTTACAAGAACGAGAGGATGATCACTGTTTGTTCTCTTCTAGAGGGTGAGCTCCTATACGGATTTGGATCCTCTCCTGAGCCCAAATAGAGGACCCTCCTGACCAAGGAGTGTGGACCGTTGGATTTTCATCCAACGGCTATAAACAGGAGGGTCTCTTTAAAGTTATAATAATTATAGCCGTTGGATAAAAATCCAACAGCCCACACTTCTTGATCAAGAGGATCCTCTCCTTGGGCTCAAGAGAGGATCCAAATCCCTCCTTGGGCTCAGGAGAGGATCCAAATCCCTCCTGTACGATACTTTGTTTCTCTTCTATAATGTTTAGGATTGTTCTCAATTTTCTTGTAATGCAACACAATCAAATCAGACGTATGTATATGTAGAGAGAGAGAGAGAGAGAGAGAGAGAGAGGGAGGGAGATTTATCCTTAAGCAATGTGAGGGAGCAAAGTGTCAAAACCAGCGCCCAGACGCCGCATGAGTTCTGTCTAGTTCTTGACTTGAATGTGGAAGCGTATTAGGGTTCATGGTTTTGCGTATTAGGGTTCTTTGTTTTTTGGATCAAATAGTAAGGTTCTTGGTGGTTGTCAATCTTGGAATTGGGGGCCCCGCCCTAAATCCTATCCTCAAATGGGAGAATGGTAATCAACCCAGTGAACAACAAACAGTACTTGTATGATTGGGGTGGACATCTAGGTTTGACCATTGGACCCTAGCTTGGATAGTTGGGCTTCATATGAAACTACTAACTGCTGGTCTCGTGTATGAGTCGGGATTGTGGTCCTTTATAAGTGGGCTTCCCCGAAGTCACATTCACCTCTAAGTAAAGAGACAGTAGAATTAGCAGATCACCCATCACTCTAATTTCATCATTTGTTACATGATCAAGGAATCATAATAAAAGTCACTTAAACTACAGTCTAGCTGTATTTCTCTTTACTATTATTGCTAACCTATTGTGAGATTTAGCCCAATTCGCCACCCCACTTAGTGTAGATAATATCACTTGCTCAAAAAAAAAAAAAGTAACCGTAATTAAAATGTGTGTCCCATAACGACCTAGTCTTTAGTCTGATAGTATTTGTATTCATTTGATTGGAGAATGTATCAGATTTTAACTCGCATGGTAGCGATGAAGTTATATATTTGTGATCAGTTCAACACATAGTTGCATAGTTGCTCATAAACCATTGAAAAACTGAATTTAGCTTAGCATAAGCAATGTGGTCTCTTAACAAAGTTAACCCATTTAAAGAATAATATTTAAAAAATTGCCTAACCCAAAAACTGAAAAAACAAACAAACAAACAATTGGATTCGATTCAGGTGTTGCTTTGTAAATGTACTCTTTGAACTTAATCACATTGCTTCTTCTCTTATGAACGTGTCAAAAACAACCAAAATTCTGTTTCCTTTTCCTTTATAAATCGAAATCGAAGCCAAAAAAACAATGCAGTCAGTTGCTATGGCCATTAGGCAAATGAGTGTCTTCTTCTCTTCCTTACCAAGTAATATCCAAGCCCTCCAAAAACAAGAAGAATAATCAACCCATCAACCACTCCTACCAAGATCAAAACCCATTTCTTCAAATTTGACTTCCCATGACCCCCATGACCTCCCTTTGGAACCTTCACCATATAACTCAATAATCCACTTCCCTTATTCTCAACCTGTTTAACACCAATTACCATTCCATATATAAAGCACTCTTTTGCAGAAGAATACAATGCTGCTGTACAATTACAGTCCTCGAAGCACAAATTACCACATTCTTCTCTGCTCACATTAACAATCTTAGCACCTCCTCTCAAAACACTAGTAACACCCTTCAATTCACGCATCTCCACCTTCGTTTTCTTCCCTTTTTTGCAAAACCCTCCTGATGAAATTCCTCGTCTGCAGTCAGAAGCAGTAGTACTAGTACCAGTACCCGTCTCATTTTCGGTGGGCAAGAGTGGAATGCATGAACAAGCTCCGGACAATGTACAAACTCCGTAGGGCTTACACGCCAATGGAAGATCACATGTGGCGTTGAGCGCTTGAAAAGAAGCATCAAATTTCGACATACCAGGTGAGTAAAAATAGAGCCTCAAATTTCCTGTTTGGTTCCCCAATGCTAAAAACCTCATAGGCTGAAACTGAAAATTTTCATCAGATGGATGAATCTGTGCAATTTTCTTTTGATTATAACTGAATAACTCTAACCCCTTTGGACCCAATTGAATATAAGCAATGTTTCTGTTCTCGGTGGGCTTGAATTCCCAATAGGAATAGTTCCACTTACCAGAATTCAAGTAGAGAGCAATCCTGCTGGGTTCAATTTCGAGAGAATAGTATGAAGTGGAGTTGCTTGGGAATGAAGTCAACCTAGAAGCCACGCTTAGTCTCTGTCCCCAAAGCATTACATCAGTTGGAAAATTAAAACTCTGCCACTTTATTCTGCCTAGTGCATCAACTAGAACTAGATTGCCTGTCCTCAATATCTGTAATTTCTGCACCAAATTGACAAGACTAAAAATAAAAAAAAAGGAATATAAAGGTAGCGATTTTCACACTCCAATGTTAACCATCTACACTCCAAATTGAATAAGACTATTTTTGAGAAATGGTTTTCTAATTCCTTTTTTCTACTCCAATTCTCATTTTCTTTTTCTTTTCCTTAATTCTCGTTTGATTTATCAATACAACTGCTAAAAAGATAAAAGAGAAGTGCAGGGGAGAAAAATAGAGTGTGAAAGTGCATGAGGATAAAAGATGAGCGTTAAAATTATCATTTGCAGAAAAATAACCATTTTTACGGTACCACTTTACACTTTAACCATATGCACACTTACAAATGGAGTGTAGAGGTTAAAGGATGAGCGTTAAAATAACTTTATCGGTATAAATTTACCTGCACACCTTGTCCAGAAGTCCCACTTCTCCATCCCACTCTACCTTTTGGGCCCTTCAATCTCAAATCTCCGTCACGGGAGAGCTCAAGAACACATATTTTTGAAGTATAAAACTTTGAGTAATGGCCAGAACACCACACCTTGACATCTCCAAGAAAGACTTGCAAGGAGCATGAGTACTTCGCACTCACAGGTTCCACACTCATTCCAACTTTAAAACTTGGTTTGGTTTCATTGTTCTCAATCAAAAAAGCGCTGGATCCCACACTGTTCTCAAAAGGCACTGGCAACCTGAATTGGTATCCGAGAGGAGCATCGGTTTTCGAGTAGCCGTAAGTGAAGCAAATGGTGAGGGAGATGAAGAAGTATAGCTGCATGAGTGAATCGCAGGCTCAAGTTTCAAGCATGAAGGCCTTTTTATGGCAGGAATTTGATGAGAGACAGAGTGGGGGGAAGGTAGGCACGAATTGTGGAGCTTTTGCAAAAAGGGTTTGTGCTTTCATTTTGCTTTGTTTTTTAGCTGCGTTAAATGTATACAAATGCGGGGGATGTAGTGGGGTTGCTCATTCGCACGCTGGAATGGCTTGTGAGTGTGAATATTCTTGTTAGGGTTTTAAAAAGTAAATAAATATAAGGTGATGATTCTCTACTGGGTGTCCACGTGAGGTCGTTTTTGGTCACGAGGAATACCAATAACATCTTAACATTCTCCAAGTTTTTGTTCACTCTGAGGTGTGTTAGTGCCTTTTAAAGCTAGTGTGGACCCCATAGAATGAGAGTGATGTGAGAATTTATGAAGTGTCTAAAATACGGAATAAAACAACATATATCATTATATAATTAAAAAAAATTATTTAAATGTCCCTCAAATTGAATGAAAATGTATACTATTTAATATCGTATTTCAAACACACTGAAAATTTCTCGGTTACTAAGACCGCCCATCTATGATTCTTTTATAATGCGTTTGGTGTCAAATGAGTGCCAGTCCTCGTAGTGGGGGCAGCAGGCCAAGTTGCATGATGAAAAAGCATGGAGCCTCCTGCCACGTGTACGATCATTATGTCCTCCACATTTCCATGCTGACATAGTTCTCGCGCCACATTGACGTGTAGGGTTCCCAAAGGACCGAACCAATTGGGCGATTTTGGGCTTCATTGAGCGACCCGACCCGAGACAAATCCAGGTTCATCTGAATTCTTGCAGCTGACGGTTCGTATATTTCGGTGTCGGTCCGGCTTCGTCGTTTCGGGATATTAATGGAGATCGGATATGCGGCTCTTCCTCCACCGTACGACCTCTAATTCCTCACCGCCTCTTCATCGTTCGCTATCGCCGCCGTTCCTTCTCCGCCAAGTTCTTCCGCCGCGGAAGTGGATGAAGAATTGGAGGAACGACGGTCGTACGACGAGCTCTGAAGCGCCGGGTTCTCCCGTCACTCCCGGTGGCAATTCCGTAATTCGATCTGATTCCGTGAGTTTTTCGTAATTCTGTTTTTCTATTTTCAGAAAAATACTCTGTATAAATTTACCGCTGAATGTGCGCTATAAAATTAAAGAATTTATTTACTACATTATTACTTTACTTTCCATAGAGGATAAGTTGTTCAGTACGCCGGGAACACCAACTGTCATAGCATATTTTTTAAGTCTCCGGCCATTTGTGTTATGAAACTCGATATACAGGCCGTGTTCTCGACACGTTGAAAAATTAGAGTTTAGAAATTTTGTTTGGTATTCAAATTATATATGTGTATGGTATATGTTATCTTTGATGTTCTTTTCATTTCCTTGTGCTTCTTGTGTCTCCCTAAATTGTTGTTAATGTTATTTAAAAACACTCCAAGAACAAAACTTTAGAAAGAATAAAAAAAACGCACATAGCGAAAATGGTGCTTCTAAGGTTTTTCAAATTGGGAAGAACCCTATTTAAGAAAGTGTTTGATACTAGAAGTAAGCTAAGAAGTTCACTAAAATGTTGTTCAAATTTCCAGAGATGGTTTTTTGAATTCGCAGTATTTAGTTTATTCCCGCCACCCCTTACTTCTTTTGAATTTTAAGCAAAACTAAAAAAAGGGGACTATCTCTTGTAAAAATGAAACCAATGGAACACATTTTGGTTTAGAGTTTTTGCGAGATTTTATTTGTACCAAATTTACTGATCAAGTTACCAATCAATTTTTAGGCCTAACATGTGTTCGTGTTGTGCTTTAGCTGCTTCTTGTTGTAAATGTACAGATTTAAGGTTTGGTAGTTAGTACTACATTAAACTTTTATCTATCAGATTAATAGCAGCCCAATCATTGGATTCTTTTAATTATTACGTATTTGGATATCATTTTCTTAATTAAGTTCTTTTTCCTGTTCTTTAAACTCACAGGTGACCAGCTGTGGCTCTTCTTCAAATACTTACGATGGTTTTGTGAGTGGAAATGGCGGAAACTCAAACGAAAACTGGCAGATGATAAGGGTTGGAAGTTTTTCAATTGATTACAAGATTTTTGATGTCCCATCTGGTATTAGATCAACGCAACTTGTTCCCAAGTCTGCATTAGATCCTACTGATAAGGCACACTGCTACTCTCTCAGTTCGTTTATTCATTTCAATAAAAGGAAGTATCGAATCGATTTAAGATCAAAGCTAGTTAATATGGAAGATGCTGCTACAAGTTCAAGCTCTAAGAATATAAGTAAACTTCCACATGAAAGCTCAAATATGTCAGATTGTCAAAGAGATAACGATATATATTCATCTTTACCTACAGAATTTGGGAAAAAAAGAAAGCATGGCCTCCCAGAAAAATCTCAGTCCGCACCAAGAAATATGAAATATGTACCTGTTAGCAAGAACTCATATTGGTCTAAGGGTTCGCAGGAACCGTTTGATATATGCATGTCTCTGACCAGAAGTTCTGCACCTAAAGATTCTTGGCATGCAAGAAAGATAGAAAACCTGAATGAAGAGGAGGACATGGTGGAATTCGAAAATCCAGCACACACGGAACTCACAAGTTCAATAGTACTACTGAGGTCTGGGATGGTATTGTTGAAACATTTCGTCACCCTCAGTGAACAGGTTTTGCGTTCTTTCCCTTCTAGATCATAGATTAGCAATTCTAAACCGGAGAAGTAGTCTCGTATGGTATCAATTTCCAGTCATGATGAGCATTTGATCAGCGATATAGTATTAGTAGTGTATTTTGGTTTCCAAAATCATTACTGATAATTAGGTTTTGGATATTAGTGCCACTAACTGAATCCTTAGTTAACGGTTCAAGATCTTCTGATGATTCTGGTCTGTGGTGACACATTTTACAGTTTTTTGAAAATTGATTGTTTTAGATTTTGTACACTGCAAACTTGTTACTGATACCTTGGTAACACTTAAATTTATAGGTTGAAATAGTGAAAAAATGCCGGGAGCTCGGTTTAAGTCCTGGAGGCTTTTATCAGCCAGGTTACCATGATGGAGCAAAACTTCGTCTACAGATGATGTGCCTTGGCTGGGACTGGGATCCTCAGACAAGAAAGTACGGAGATAGGCGAACAGTAGATGGTACTCGGCCTCCTGGTATTCCTAAGGAATTTAGTTTGCTGGTAAAAAGAGCGATTGATGAGGCACATGCCCACATTAAAGAGGAACTCAGAGTTAGCAGAGCTGAAGAAATACTCCCTTCAATGACTCCTGATATATGCATTGCCAACTTTTATACAACAACTGGCCGACTTGGTCTTCATCAGGTATTTACTCAAAGTCTCAAATACACTTTCAATAAAACCAAACGTATATATGCATTGCAGGATCTTGAATCGATGTAAGTAGAATTATAAATTTACATTTACACATCAAGATTACTCTTCAATGCTGTTAATTCGGTTAATCTTATTCTTAAATTTGTGTCATTTTCCACGAGCCCCAATTGTTCCTGAAAGCAACAATTATTTTTTTATACTTTTTGGGTGATCAGACAAGCATTGATTTGCAGGATCGCGATGAAAGCACAAAGTCTCTCCATGACGGATTGCCTGTGGTCTCCATCTCTATAGGTGATTCAGCAGACTTCCTCTATGGAGATCAGAGAGATATTGCAAAGGCAGAGAATGTTGTTTTGGAATCAGGTGACGTGCTGATATTTGGAGGACCTTCGAGGCATATTTTTCATAGCGTGACATCCATCCTACCGGACTCAGCCCCAAGGAGTTTGTTGGAAGCAACCAGCCTTCGTCCTGGACGTCTCAATCTTACCTTCAGACAGTATTAATTAAACACCTTTCATATGTTACCACAGGTCTGGCATTCTACTTACACACCTTGTTTAGTTTTCGTCATTATCCCCCAATACAATTAATCGACTTTGCGATTTACGCTGTGACTGCAACTTGGTGCATTCACTGATCTAAAAACAATTGCTGCTATAAACATATTCAAATTTTGTATGGTATTAAGCTTCTTCGAGATATCAAGATTCGAGGCTTCATTCAATCGCGTAACATTCGAACATAAATCGATTAACTAAATGCTTATGAAGCCTATTTATTAGTTCCCTGTTTGTATATTAGGTTTGATGTGTACACCTAGAAGGTCATTTTTGGCTGTGAGGCTGTTTGATTGGTTTAGTTATGAGCTTAATATTCCAATTAAACATAATGTGATGTTGATCCAGTGGCTCATTATTTAATTATGAGTTAAGTGATAGAATTAGCAACATTCTACTTCTCAGCCGCTGCTTTTGATGCGTGCACTGCATCATCACTGTCCTGTTAGATGATGCAATTATCTTATGATTTTTATATTCTTGAACTTGTCAAAAATCTGTGTTAATCTGTGGGCTTATCAATAAAAATATTATGCTACTTGTGCAAGGAATCTAATTGGAGTTGTCAAGATAAGATATTTGCCTCAAGGACACAACATTTGGCTTTGATCTGACGTCGGCCCTTGTCTTTTGTTGATCGATAAAAATAAGGAATGATGGTTAGACACTTTCACATAAATATGTGGCTTTGATCTGACGCAACTAACTTAATGGTTAGACACTCTCCCAAAAATTCAACAGGATAACAGGTTCTCTCCGGATCTTTTTTATGATGATTTTGAAGATTCGTAAATCGTGTTTGTTCATTGTACATCACAGTTATAGAAAATAATGAACTTTGCTTGTGCTTATAGTTAGTTAAGCTACGCCCTATAGTATTAATTTGTTTTATGACGGGATCTCAACTTTTTTTGTAGTATTAGAACAACTTGTTCCACATGTGAAGCTCAACAGCTATATGCGCTCCATATCATCATATTCGTATTGTTTATGTGTTAGGCAAAACATGTGAAGCCCAACAGCCACAATCGTTCCCCGTCACCCTTTTAGTGTTGTTCGCATGTTAGACTTGAGAATTCGCGATACACGAGGGGAGGATGTGTTAAGGATCGAATCCCACATAAAGGAAAGGATGAACCTTGCATCTATTTATAGTTAGTTGAGCTGTCACTTAGTACTATGGTCTAGTGGTATTTTTCTTCACTTGTAAGTGAGAGATTTTAGGTTCGATTTTCGTCAAAGGAGAATTTGAATCACATTGTTGCTAGCCTAGTGTGAGGCTTAGCTCACTATCCCAGAGCAACTTGTTCCATGTGTAAAGCTCAACGGCTATGTGCACTTCACATCATCCTATTTGTGTTGTTCATGTGTTGGCCAAAACGTGTGAAGCCCAACAGCCACAGATGTTCCTCATCACCATTTTTGTGTTGTTCTCATGTTAGACTTGAGAATTTGCGACACGTGAAGGGATGTGTTAAGGATCGAATCCCACATAAAGGAAAGGATGAACCTTGCATCTGTTTATAGTTAGTTGAGCTGTCACTTAGTATTATGGTCTAGTGATATTTCTCTTCACTTGTAAGTGAGAGGTTTTAGGTTCAATTTTCGCCAAAGGTGAATTTGAATCACATTTTTGGTAGCCCAGTGTGAGGATTAGCTCATTATCCCAGAGCAACTTGTTCCACATGTGAAGCTCAACGGCTATATGCGTTCCACATCATCCTATTTGTGTTGTTCATGTGTTAGGCTAAACGTGTGAAGCCCAACAGCCACAGGCGTTCCTTGTCATCCTTTTTGTGTGTTCCCATGTTAAACTTGAGAATTTGCGACACGTGAGGGGATGTGTTAAGGATCGAATCCCACATAAGGAAGGGATGAACCTTGCATCTATTTATAGTTAGTTGAGCTATCACTTAGTACTATGGTCTAGTGGTATTTTTCTTCACTTGTAAGTGAGAAGTTTTAGGTTCGATTTTCTCCAAAGGAGAATTTGAATCACATTTTTGCTAACCTAGTGTGAGGATTAGCTCACTACCCCACTCCCTTAGTGTAGATATATCGTTTGTTAAAAAAAAAATATAGTTAGTTGAGTTGATTCTTATTGACAATTCATTTTATTTGTGGAGCTTGAACTTTCTTCACACTATGCATTATATTAAGGTACCATCTAACCTTACGTAGGTACAATTCTAGATGGACACGTCCCAATCTTAATTTGTAAGTTGCTCAGGCTCCCCAATTAAAGATTCTCCCGTCAATTAGCTTGGGCATCAATTATGCTATTCCATCCTTGATAACAATAGATGATTGTATCAAGTTAATGTGATATGTATTTTGTTGTTAGGCATGCATGTTATATTACTAAACTGTCAATTTAAAAAATTTACATATATGTATTTTGTTCAAAATACGCATTTAAAATTCAAATTAACGGTCTGACAACATAAATTATTAACTTACCGCTTTTTTTTAACGAATTGTTTATTGAGGAAAGATGTTTGGAATCAAAGCAACAACGGTGACATATAAAATAACAATGATAGGCAGGGATGTCTTTGAGATTTCGGAGGCCATGTGCGAAATTTGAAAGAGGGCCCTTCCTTAAGATAGTTTTTTATTTTTTTATTTTTATTTTTTAAATGTACTGATGCTAGAAAAAAGTCACTTAAATCAAAACAAATTTTAACACTCACTGAATGCAAGATTACAAATGTCATTAATTATAAGTAAAAAGAGTTACATACATAACCTTCACTAAATAATCAAAAGCAGTTCATTCTTAAATAACCAAACATGAAAAACAAAAAACTTCAAAACTTTTAACTTTGAAGTTTCACTTGAACATATAATATTATTATATATATCATTTTTTGAGTGTTATTACTGGCACACAAAATATCTCATTGTACTCCAAATTTTTATATTAGAAAGGAAATAATTACTCTTATAAGAGGTGCACAAAGAGATTTTGAAGTACTAACAAAAGCAATTGTTTTTTTTTTAATATAAAACATTATTACATAATATTAGATGACAAAATTTTTTAGAGTTCTTATAAATTTGGAGCCCTGCGTGACCACATCTTTCGTTCCCCCTCAACTCCCCCTTTACTGATATGGATGTGGAAATCCTACGCAGAAAACACGTAATGGTGGCATCTAATCAACTTGCATGTCAAAATCCATTTTGTTACTTGTAACTTGTAATTAGCATTTGCCTACACACTTTGTGTGTATGAACACATTTTTTTAGAAAATGAGAAGGAGAGAGAGAGAGAGAGAGAGAGAGAGAGAGAGAGAGAGAGAGAGAGAGAGAGAGAGAGAGAGAGAGAGAGAGAGAGAGAGAACGTGAGGGGAGTGAGAGGTTTTTTTTTTTTTTTTTTTTAATTTTAAATATTAGAGATATTTTAACATCACCTATAGGTGATGCTTCAATAAAAACAGTAAAATTTGAACTTGTAAAATTACATTATTGCCCATCATTTTTTTTTTTTGTGATAGAAGACTAAGTTGTCTTTTCACCCTCTTTTGGTTGATAAAAAGAATTTCATTAATTAATAGAGATGAAGATTTCGTTTGCACTTGGGTCATTGTGTTAATAATTATTTAATTGAATCTTCATAGTTTAACAGTTTAAATTGCATTATTGCCCTCCAAATACTCAAACCACAGCCACAACTTCAAACCTTCTTTTATTAAATTTTAACATGTACGTTGTTTAATAGTTCTTGAATATGATTAGCACTAATCTCCAAACTTAGAACTTACATAAACTTCCCACCTTATTAGTGATTGTATTCAAGATATCCATGGTGTCGTGACTCCCCTTAGATAAACCGATATTACGTAATGTACGTAATTAGCTCTCCTTTGGCTTTGATTTTCGACTATGTTCATCGGAGGATGGTTTACTAATTAATCCTATTTTGGGCTCATGTGAAATCTCATTCTTGGATTTCACTATTTAAAATTACGTATCTCACATTTCGTATTCATATTCGTAGTTTCGACGCGTTCATATTTACGGCGTATACAATTTTTATTCGATAAGTAAAAAGATGAAATTGCCCCTGTTGTGTTAACAAGATTCTTTGTGGACATATTTGATCCTTTCATAATTTTTCAGATTTCTTTACATATTTGGATAGTACGTATTGATACGAACGCGTGGGCGCAAACGGAATGTAATTTGGAGTTATTAACTAACAAAGTCAAGGGCAAAATGGCCATATAATTATTAAATTTGGAAGGCTCCAAATTTGTTGGAGCAGGAATGGCTGGGATGAAGCCACGTGTGTGGCTGTGATGGAGAGAAGAGAAGAGAAAGGGGTGTAGAACTGCCCAATCGAGAGAAAAGGCGGACCAATGAGATGAGAAAGCTAGGAGGGGAATAATGTAATTTTACGATGGTTTTCAGTCAAATTTTCGATGAATTCTTCGAGCAACCACCTGGAAAACCTTCCTTGATCTTCCCTCTCCCATTTGCACCCATAATCGAAGAAGTTTGGCCCTAATTTCATGAAGAACGGAACTCGTCTGCATTAATGGGTGCACAACGGTGATTCGCCATTTCTACAAATATCACCATTGACCACCACCATCAATCGACTCCTCTCAACCCCAGGAGCAAGGCCTAAGTATTGGATAAGGCGTTGGAGTTTGTTTTGGTGACGAATCGAAGCTCACCCTTTTTAGGGTTTCCGACGCTTCGAGGGATTTTCCAGCCACTTCTTGACCGAACTAATCTTCGGCCCAGGTATGAAAAATGTTCCTCTCCTTGTGTTGTACATTTCTGCAAATTTTGGTGAATTTTAGTGTGGGTCAGAATTTGGGGTTTCCGTTCGTCGGAAACCGCCACCCGTAGCGGTGCGTGCTCAATGGGCTGACGCTGCCTTTTTAAGTTAAATTTGATGTTCTGATTTCAAATTTGTTAACTGTTTGATATAGTTCGATAGTTTGACCATAGTATAAAATACTACGCCACTTGATCATTTTATGAATTAACGATCAAACCGTTAGATCGTCACCAAACCTTAACACATTATAGTACATAATATTTGAGGACCATAGGAATTGACGGATTTGAATTTCTAAATTTGTAAAACCAAACGTTGATAGCAACATAATTCTAGTAATTGGCGGAAATCCAACCGTTGGATCGTTCCGAAATTTTATAATATTGTTCTAGAAGATAAATGAGATCCTTAGGAAGTTATGGATCAGAAAT